AGTGGCCCGGCCGCTGGACTGGCGTTGGGATCCGGGAGGGGTCGGCACCCGGCGGGACGGCGGCGGGCGGGCGATCTCCATGGAGCTGCTGTCAGCACTGAGCCTGGGCGAGCTGGCTCTCAGCTTCTCCCGGGTGCCGCTCTTCCCGGTCTTCGACCTCAGCTACTTCATCGTCTCCCTCCTCTACCTCAAGTATGAGCCCGGTAAGTCCCCGGGGGATAGTCGGGGGCGAGACAGCCCGAGAACGCTGCATCGTGGTTTCGCCCCCTGGGCGCGGGTGGAGGAGGGATGCGTGGGGTAGGGCGCGCGCGTGTAGAGCGGACGGAGTCGTCCGGTTCAGATCCATGTTCCCGCCGCCCCTGCGTGACCTTTCTTTGTGCCCTTGGCGAGCGCGCGGCAGCTGCCGATGCCTAAATAAGGCCAGCGTGCGGGGGCAGCGATCGGGTTCGGGAAAGTGATACCGGTGTCCCCTCCGCCCCGGGCGCTGTGGGAACTCTTCCAGCCTGGCCTGGGATCCTTTCCCCCTGGCCGGGTGACGCGGGGTCAGCCTCCTCCCCAGCCCCAGACCCCCTTGGGGAGACGTAGGAGGAAGGGAAGACCCTGCTTTACACATTTTTCTAAACGAGAACAAATGGCCTCTTTAGAACGCATTCTATTTTTATACCAGGTTCGCCAGCAGCAAGTGCCTTTGCTCATCTCCAGTATTCTAATGAGTCTCGCTCACCAGCAATCCAATTGACAGGAGGAAAATGTAGCTTGGGATAAAAGATCAGCTACCAAAAACTTTGTGACCCTTTCTCCCACTTGGGTGTAAACTATCCTTGTTTCTCAGAACAGGAATAGCATTAGTCATTTTTCCTCTTCTAGTAGAAATTGCTTTATATTTTTTTCAGATGACAAAAAAATAGGTGCTCGTGTTTACCAAAAATCATACCAAAAAAAGCAGTATTGCAGTTCAATTGTCCCCCCGCACCCCCTGAGTGTTCTTCTGTGCATTTCTACCCTACACTTAGAGACAGGCGGGCAGGGTCTTTCGCAAACAAGATCACAGCCTGCTGTCAGGTGAGGAGGTACTATTTTTGCCTATCCACCTGCCAGAGCCTGTTTCTTTCATCTTCAGGAAAGCAGTTGCATTGCAAAGCAGAATAAGCTTTGGATTGCCCTAGTTTGAACTTGGAGCTGCATTTCCTGTCTGGAGGCCTTTGCCAGTGCCCTGAGCAACTGCAGAACCCTGCACACCTTGGGAAATGTAAAAGGAAGGAGGCTGCACTTCAAGTGCCACAACCTGGAGGGTCCCAGAGGTCTAGGTGTGGTTCTCAGCCCTGGCTGCCCAGCAGATGCACCTGCAGGGGTTTCAAAGCTCCTTCCGGCTGGGGTGCAGCATGCCTGAGGCCCTGGGTTTCTCTCCGGCACCTCAAAATGAAGTGTCACATTGCACTGTTTGCCCACCCCATTTGGTGTGGGTGCTCAGCTTCTGAAAATACCGTGTGTGTGTGGGGGGGCACTGGAGATTGAACATAGTGCCTTCCAATTGACTCTCATCTCCAGCACTTTTTTAAAAATTTTAGGACAAGATCTCACTAAGTTGCCCAGACTGGGCTCAAATTTGTGATCCTCCAGTCTCAGCCTCCCAGAGTGCTGGGATTGCAGGCTCCAGCCACCACATCTGGCAGTCTGTGAATACTTCCTAGAGTCCATGTGAGGTTGCAGTACCAGGTACAGAATTTTCAAGGCCTGGCCAAGTGAAATAGCCGAAGCCTGTAATCCTGGTTACACCAGCGGCGGAAGCAGAAGGATCACAAAAGCACAAGTCTGAGGCCAGCCCGGACAATTTAGTGATACCTTGTCTCAGCATAATGGAGACAGGGCTGGGATTGGAGTTCAGGGCTAGAGCACTTGCCTCACATGTGCAAGGGCCTGCCTGGGTTCATCCCCACTGCTCCCCACCAAGCAGACAATCAAGCGGAATCTGCAGGGCCAGGTACAAAACGACAAGGTGGAACCCCTTGTTCAGAAATAAAGAATCTCGGAGTGTGGAACCTTTTTGAGCCTGGGGTCCCCCGAAGCTGACCGGGCTGCTGACAGCGAGGCTGGCTTTAAGGAAGGCGATCTCCAAACTGGGAGTCAGTTCTGCCCCTGCACAGGCCAAACACCAGACTTGTCCCTTCACCTGCATGATCTGCTGTTTCTCCTCTGTGAAGATGGTTCATTGGTCGAAGAACCCCACACCCGCTTTCCCGGCTATTTGGAATTGTTTGTTTTTTGAGGCGGGGTCTCACTATTGTAGTTCAGGCTCTTCTTGGACTTGCTCTGTAGCCTGTGCCGGCTTCGAACTTGCAGGAATCCAGCTGCCTCAGCCTCCTAAATGCTGGGATCCTACCTCTCCTGGCTATTTGGGAAGAAGGCCTTCTAAGAACTGGAGCACTTGGGGGAGGGTTACGTTTTATGGAAGGCTCTGGGGAAAGTGGTAGCCGGGACACTATATCCCGCTCCGGCTTTCTGGGGAATACTCATCCACGCCACCTGGGAGCCGGGTAGCGGCGCAAGGTCCTGGGCACTGCCCAGACTTGCAGAACCCACATCTGAATTTGAACCTTGATGACTCCAGATGATTCCTGGATGGGCCGAAGCTCAAGACCAGCCCACCCGAACTGCTGGAGCACTGGACAGGTGCAGAGGGCGGAGCCTGGCACCTCTCTGGGCCTCTGCTCCAGGCAGGGAGAAAAGAGGAAGCAGGGTGCTGTGTGCCTGATCGCAGGAAGGACAGAATGAAGGAGTGAACAGCGGTCCTGGCCTCCCGTCAGACTGACCTGGGCAACTTCTAACCCGCCCTGCTCGTCATTTAGATCAGAATTGCCCGAGCTGGGCCCAGGTGTCCCCCAGTATGGCAGGGCGTTGCTTCCAGGGCTGCCCGTGGGTACCAAAGTCCAGAGGGTCCAAGCCCCTGCCGCAGAGCGGGGCAGAGTTTGCACGGATCCCGCGCACCTCCTCCCCAAACTTGAAGCCCTGACCCGGTGTACGTGGTGCAGTGTCACACGGCACCTGGTCACTGCGCTGCACCCTTCAGGAACCGCCCCAGGAAATACTCCCTACACATTCAGTACAGGCGCAGTTGTCTTTGGAACAAAACTGAGGTAGTTGAATCTGCAGGTGCGGATTCCACAGGTATAGAGGGCCAGGTATATTTTTCGAACTTCCCCAGATAAAAACTGATTGGCCACACCAGGGTCTCCAGCTGCCCTGTGTACTTCAGGAGGTTTCCCTGCATTCCTCTAGTTGCTAGCAGCACCCCGACCCCCAGTAATGACAGCAAAAATCTTGTCGAGGGGACAGGGCACATGTCTGCCCACAGCCACACCACAGTGAGCAGCAGAGCCAGAACCTGGGCGTGGGACTTTTTTGGGGGGACTGAGGGGTTGAACCCAAGACCTTAGCAAATGAGCGCTGTCCCCAGCTTTTTTTTTTTTTTTTTTTTTTTTTTT